GGGGGGGTTGTTTGTTATTGTTGTTTTAACACTTTGCAGTCACACAGCCAGCAGTACAAAATACCCAACCTGGTCACCCAGCTAGGAGAGTGACTGTAACAGATTGCTCGGGCCCCTGGGATGATTTTCACCTGCGCATTATTGCGCCAAGTGATCGCAAAGTGTCAAGGGGGAGGGGGGGTGGTGGGGGTTAGAAAAATTGAAAATTGCAGACAACTCAAAATCTTGGACAAGGTCAGGGGTACAAAAGGTAAGGTCAAAGGATCTGTTTCGGTGGGTGCCGAATTTATCATTTAAAAGACATGTTGTTGGGGAGTGAAAAGTCTTCGATTATTTTTCTTTTATTGATTTAACTTCCCAAAGGCGGCTAAAGGTGTAAAAGTTTCCCACCAAAATCAAAGGTTTTGAAAGTTCGTGTTTTAGGTCAGTTGGCTAAGCAATTCTGAGAGAGTAATTGGGCAGGACAAACGAAGCAGATCGGGATTGGCCTGTGCAGGACAACCCGTCTGGCACAAGCGTGGAGGGTCCTCCTCAGGTTTATTTGTCCATGGAGTTTATTCTTGTCAATGTATATGATGATCCCACTAGAAACAATCAGGTTCTTTCTGTGAATCTGATGATAAGCAGTAAATCCTGTTACGTCAATGGTTGAACCTGGGCAAACTTTGCCGCTTGGATACAGGTCACATATGGGCTCAGAGTGGTCCGTAAGTTTAGGAGTTCTGCAATGGAAAGTTGGAGTCCTACAGCATTCCATTGCAGGACCGTCATTGCACTTGTTTTGATTTGGAGCACAATGCCCCCCCCCCCCAATTCGATGGGCTCTACTTTCTCCTTGCAAGCGATGTCGAACATGTTCGAGGCAGTTGCCAATGGTATTTTGCGTTTGAATTTATCTTTCTGATGATTGAGATTGTTGGGGTTTGTTTTGTTTTTTGCTTTTATTCGGGTTAGACATTTTTTTTAAACCAAAGAGACAAACAAGCGTACAATGTGTGTTGATGACGCCCATTCCCAGCACTTGCGAGGGGAAAATACAAAGGAGTAATTGCTTTGAACTTAGTTCTTTGATCTTTGACTACTACAGTAGAGCCAACAAAAATAGATACTTTTAGAATTTATCTGATTTCCCATAATGATTTCATATAATACCGAGCTAACTCCAAACTTCATGTCCTTAAAGGCTAGGAAACAAAATGATGATAACACTAAGCCCTAAACCGAACCGTAATCCTAACCCTTACCCAAAACTTAGAGCTAAACCTATGCTTAAATCTAACCCTAAAATTGCAACTGAAATGTAAAGTAATGTTGGGGTCTCTCACCCCCCCCCCCCCTCCCCCCACCCCATTATGTAGACTAGAATGAACCAAAGCAAATGTACTACAAAATGTTTCACTCCTCTCTTTGAGCAAATTTTAAAAAGGCGTCCTCAAAATCGCAGTTGGCGCCAAGTGGGCAGTTCTGGTTGAATAAATCATCTTGTTGTATAGGTTCTTTAGGTTAATCTGGTAGAAAATAATATATTGGTATCAATACGTCTAAGATGTCATGATTATTGGCTTCTCCGCGAGTAATCGGCAAGGCGCTACCCACACAATTGTTCTTTCGGGGCTTCCGATTCTTTTAATGTTTGAAGAGTTTGTCTTTAAGAGTACAGTTTGCATGTAATATGTATTCTAAAAAAGGCTTTGAGAGTGGTGTTGATAGAATGCCCTTACGTGATAACATTGTGAGGCTCGAGCGGTTTCTCTTAATTAGTGCGTTCATAATTAATTTCCCACCAACGTTTTCCATTTCGAAGCACAATCACCCAGCATCGTTTTTGTGTTTGTGTGCGGGGGTGGGGCGGCTCATCAATCTAACACGGTTTCAAGAGAGGGCAGATGCAAGGGAACTGCTGAGTTCGCCCATCTTTGATAGATGAAATATTGTGCGAGAGAAAACTACTCATTATTCACAAACACCGTTTCCAGAGAGAATATATTTCATTCCTATGTCTTTACTGTAGCGCCCACTTACATCAATCTTTTTTCTTAAGCATAGTATTGATCTTTCGGGTTCTACAGGCCTTATAGAAATCAATGCCAGCTTGCAAGATTTGATGGAGCAAAATGCCAAAAACACAAGTGTTACGTACTGCTTCCTCTGCGCAGAAAGCAACTTCCCATCTATTACAGTCGCACCCTGTTGTGGGAGCCTGCTGCAAGAGCGGAGGGTTTGGTTAGTTCATATAATATTGCTTTGCCTATTGTGTTTCCAGTTCTTGAGTCTATTTGCGCTCCTTTTATTATTACGTTCGTTTTCTAGTTTTCATTCTTTTTGTTTATTTTCTTTAAAATTCCATGTCTATTGGGGAGAGGGGAGATGTATGGGTTATATGGATTAGATTATCGGGTGCTGTGTGTGTTTGTTGTTGGGTTGGGTTGTTTT